AGAAATCTGTTTTACAAAGTGCATTTTGATATTGTACATGTTGTGAAGTTGAGCTCTGAGTATTTCCACATTCTGGATTATTCCATTACTTTTTATTTTTGACCATGGTGGGTCCAGGTCTTAGAATGCTGTTGCTTATTATGAACATAGAGAGGATGATTAGATGTAAATAAATGTAAGTAAAGTAACAGCTGGATCAGCATAGGGTGGAGCGAGATGGCTATATGTTTTGGAAGAACTGTAGAAGTGAAGCAGGCAGTCGAGGCTTCCCTCAACCCAGCTCATTCATCCTGGGGAGTCTGGACACAGACCTAACTTTTGTCCCAGGCCTGATGCCTTACAAATGTATGCTATTGTTTGGCAAGGGATGGAGAAACAGTATGACGCAACTTAATACATTCATTCCATGGCCACATTCATTATCCAAGTGTGAAGGGTAGCAGAGCAGTGTAAACTAACAAACTGAAATTTAATTCCAAATTCTTATGCATTGTATTAGGCTTTTGGGTACAGAGGCTAAGGTAGTTTCTAGAAGGTTAGTTCTCATAAGAATGGTTGTGTTATCAGCGTGAGAGAAGCCTCATAAAAAACCTTACAGATTTGTTTGTAGAACTTTCTATGGAAAACTCTAATAGAGGAGTGTTTAAATGATATAACAGGCTCTAAAAAGTTAGAACTCACTGGGCTATGTATGCTGTAAGGTGACTGCTCTAGTCTTTGTAGGTTCAGGCTTGTGTAATCAGAGCAGTGATTAGATGAACATGCCTAAATACATATATGGTTTAGTTGGAAGTCAGAACAGAACAGAAGAGCTGCTTGAGGACCATACGTTGGTAAATGCAGAGCATTCTCTGGATTGAGTTCCAGTCTTCTTAAATAAAATTTCATAAATAGTTATTTTGGAGCAAACAGTTGCCACCCTCATATCCTGTTCCACATTCATATTTGCACAGTACTTGAGTTTTTATCACACCAACCCTGGAAAACCAGCTTTGCAAAGATATGATGTCATTGAAAGGAATGTGGTATGATCTAATGTTGAAACTGCAAACTCCCTTGAGTGCCAGTTTGCATGGTGCCCTGCAAATGTCTAGCACCTCTGTGGTTCCCTCAGAAATTGAAAGGAGCCTGCCCTGCTCCTGTTTCCTCTGCAGACTGTCCCTTGACCATCCCCTTTCCCTCATTGGCCATAGTGTTTCATTCCCATTTTCTGCTGCTCACACTTGTTTAGGAAATAGATCTGGTGGAGAAAGAGGCCTCTGGGTACAGAGGGGTGGTCATGGGGTCTCCTGCCTTTCAGAGAAACCCCTGTGCTTCCATTCAGCCTTGGTTGGCCTGTCTCAATAAGTGTCAAGAAGTGTGTTAGGTTTCCTCGTCTCTTCAGTTTGCCAGTAGTGGACCATTTGTTTTCTATCTTCACAGTTTTGTTACTGTCTCTCATCTATAGTTCCCCCTTGTTGTCCTTTTTGGGTTTGTACATTTTTTAGTCCTTTCATTTGGTGGGAGTGAAGGTAACACATATTCGACCTGCCCTGTTTAATAACACTGGGGGAAGTTGTTTAATCTTTCTGAACTTGCATTTCCTGATCTGTAAAACATGGGTGATAGTGTCCAACTTGCAGGTGATTTGAAGGTGCTATATGTCTACCAGATACAGTGGAACCTTGGTTCTTGAACTTAATTCATTCCGGAAGGCTGTTCAAGAAGCAGTTTGTTTGAAAACCGAATCATTTTTCCCCTATTAGAAATAATTAAATTAATTCATTCTAGGCCCCAAATGATTCTGTTTTAACTTTTCTTATATATAGTACATGTCTAATGTACGGTTTAATCAATAAACAAACACTTCTTAAATTTATCGAACCCCCCCCCCCAACAAGCCTTAAAGGAATCACTTGCAGCACTTGTTCCAGGGTGTGTCTTTCAGGTCAGCATGGAGCATCTTTGGTTTTTCACATATTGCTTACTTCCAAATGCTGTTCCAGGCTAACTTTACAAATCAACAACAGTTTTTCTACCTTTTTAATTTCCTGTGATCATTGTTTCTTTTACACCCTTAGCAACATTAGCACTTTTTAAAAAAATATATCTTTGTTGATTTCAGAGAGAGGAAAGGAGGGGGAGAGAGAGATAGAAATGTCAATGATGAGAGAGTCATTGATTGGCTGCCTAGCCTGCAACCCCGGCCTGTGCCCTGACTGGGAATCGAACCCTGATCACCTGGATCCTAGGTTGATGCTCTACCGCTGAGCAACGCCCTGCCGTTTACATTAGCACTCTTGATGGTCTCTTTATGTGTTAAAATTGTGCTAATCCATTTTGCGAGCAGCAAAAGCAAACAAAACAAAACAAAAAACCCCAAACCAAAACACACACACATACAAATATTCACAGCACAGTTTCCTGAGGGGTTAACAAGGCGAGGTTTAACTAAACTGACTCCTACTGGCGAATTCTCTCCTTTGTGGCCTGAGAGATGCTTTATGTCATGCTGATAGATCAGTATGATGAAAGAAAGAGTTGTCAGGTAGACAACCCAGACATTTTTTTCTGTGAACAACTTGGTAGAGAACCCAATTGTCTGAGATGGGAGACCTTGGAGAACTGAGGTGTGACTATATTTAGTAAACAGTGGTAGCTGATGTTATTCCAGTCATAGCATTTGTTATTTGAGCAAACATGACAATAGCAATAGGTATGGAAGTAGACACATTTCTTGTGTTGGTGAATGAAGTTGGTAAGACAGAAGAAGAAAGAGATTTTGGAAATGGGGAAAATAATTCCCTTGGTTTTAGATATGTTGAATTTGAACTGCCAGCAGGGTATCAGATGAACATACTATAAAAGGGGTTGGAATTCTTGTCTGGCCCCCACGGGGTGGGAGGGTGGAGGTGGACTTTAGTTTAGAAATCACTGGGTTTTATATGCCAGGAAGATATGGTTTGGGAAGAGGTAAAGGCTTCAAACCTTGTCATACACCAATGTTAAGAGCTTGTTACAAAAGGGAGCTGCCTAGGTTACTGAAAGCTAAGGGGGTGAAAGGGAGAGACGTTGGAACCTGTTGTCAAGGGTAGTTTTATGGACGATTAAGTAGGAAGCATTTTCAAGGTCACTGCCAGGCTGTGGCTGAGTTCTGGCTAAGACTGGAAGGTCTTATGCTTCTAGCTAGAGGTGTGATACTTTGCAAGATTCTTTCGCATTTGGGCCTTCATTGCCTTATTTGTTTAAAAAAATACTTACTGCCCTAGCCATTTGGGTAAGTGGTTAGAGCATCAGCCCTCCTGGGTTCAATTCCCGTCAAGGGCACTTACCTCTGTTGCAGGCTCGATCCGGGCCCTGGTTGGGGTGCATGGGGGGAGGCAACCAATCGATGTGTCTCTCTCACATAGATGTTTTTTTCTCTCTCCCCTCCCTTCCACTCTCTCTAAAAAAATCAATGGAAAAAGTATCCCCGGGTGAGGATTAACAGAAGAAAATTTTTACTTAGGGACTTGGGATGTGGTTGTTGGCAATACATTTTATGGTATGGTCTTGAATTCAATGATAAAATTTAAATTAAAACAACCCCAAAATTATAGGTTTCTTCATTTTCACTAACCAGGCCATCGACATACATGGTACCAAAAAAAAGGTAAGATTGTTTTAAAATGAAATGGACAGGATAAATATTCAATTTAATTTTCCATCTATGATAATTTCACAATAAAGTCATTGTTTACTTTGTAAAAACAAACAAAAAATACCTGAGTACCCTTTTGAGAGTTTATGTCATGCACATCCAGACACATGGCTACATCTGAGAGAATTCACTCTCTACTAGGTGGGCCTCGGGTGGGGACCCTGGTTAACCATGAGGGTGTTTCCTAGAAGCATACACTGTGCAGTCCTAAGAGAAGCACTTTTCTCTTTACTCACTTTAAGGGTGCATATGCCTTAGGCGATTTAACTGAGGACTGAGGAAGAGCCTTTGGCTTGGCCATTAGGAGTTGTCTGGGGACTTCTGCATATTAGCAGTGGTGGGATGAATTTGGGAGCCTATGTGTGGTGAGCAGAGTGGAGGAGGGTTGATCAGGCATAGATGTGAAATGGGTAGCAATGGCACAGTAAGTTTAAGCTTGGAAAGTTTCTTTGTAAGCAAAGTCAGCTTCATTACCTTGGTGGAGGCAAACGGGCATCATTGATGGAGAAGTGGGATGAAGTGAACTTCCTGGAAAGCTACCTGCAGCACTCTTACGTTCTTCTCATTTTGATCTGGTGACAACTTCCCTGTAGCATGGGGGCCTTTAATCTAGCTGAGTCCTATGTGCCAGACATATAGCTGTCCTCTTGAAATATATCTGCTTGGGAAATTTCTACTTCCCTTAATATCTCTAACAGCAAGAAGTTCCACTTTGCTTTGGCTTCATGGCTCATGGGCAGTGTTTGTATACTAACTGTTCCCTGAGTTTATTTGGAAGTTCTCCAGCCCTTACACTTTTCTGCTCCAAATGGAAGACACCCGGCTTCAAAAAAAAAAAAAAAAAA